GTGGTGAGTGCGAGTTTTTACGCTTTCCAAAGCCATAACTCCGTTCAAACTCATGCAATCTGGAAAGTTAATACATCATCATAAACTAGAAGATTTGCTCTTTCTATAGACAACTAAAACTGCTAAATACGTTCACTATTTTGAAAATGGCCACGTTGAGGATTTTTGCCCGATGACCGCCGAAAGTACTTTTTCGCTACATTAGCACTATCCCAACGACTACAGCTCCTTGCAGGAGCGATTACATACTGAAGTAGGAGCAGATTCAAAATCCTCGTGCTTTTCTCTCTGCAAAAAGTGTAAAATTGTTTAGCGGGTCTCAACTTTAAAGGTTACATGCTTGTGAATTTGACGCTGAAGGCTGCGTTTCTTGTTGAATAGTGTACTCCTCTCTGTAATTTAACATGAACTCTTTCAGAACCCTCTTGATTCTTCCTGAATTAAGATTCGTTATCAAGATAGCCGTAGCTGAAGCGCGCGCAACCAACTGGGCCCACTCTGGGATGCGCCGTGTGCTTCACATCTCGTTGGATTTGAGGACCTACTTGAAAGATAAAATATCCCTAGGAAAACGTGCGAATTTCGGATTCTTTACTTGTGTGGTGATGAAACACTGAAGTACTAAGAATTGCTAAGCGGACACCTCTAAATCACGAAGATTTTGTGTGGACGGAATCAATTGTTATTGGAAATACTCTGGCCTGGTATCGATTCGATCCTTAATGTTTGTCCTCCGACGATGATCCTACTGTATCAATCGGGCCCGATCTCTCCCCAGCGGGCCAATACGACCCCCCCCCCTCTGTGACATGTCGAGGATTCCTCAACGCACGCTTGACCCTGGTTCATGACTCATTTCCACTGGTGACCGATTAGGGAAGGCTCTGCTTTTGCCGTCCCAGAATGGATTTTCCCCAGATGGTCAGGCGTGCTTCCCGCTCATGGTCGGCCGGACCATAAGGTTTCCATCAAAACTTCATTCTGCAGCAGTCCTTGCCATACTGATGGCGTGTGCTGGTGCATCGGCTGCGCTCAGGTATCTGCTACAATACCCTGGTAGCAACGTCGGAGGCACTCCCAATTTAGGGTGCAAGGGGCGCTCATCAAAAATGACCGCAGGCCCAGTATGAGGTTGAAGTTCATAGCTCGTTTCGTCTTTGCCGTTGCGATTGGACCACTAGCTCAGTACCCTATCAGTAGCAGAGACTGGGTCAAACACAGCGCTGATCTTCTCTGTTGTCCTCCTTGCTACAGAGTTCATTTGAGGATCGTAAAGCATAATCATTCATTGCAGTCACTGACCTATTTTTATTCTTAGTTGAATTTCGCTACGACACGGTCTTAAACGGAAGAAATTCGAAATTGAATATAAATAAGACAGGAATTATAAGGCAAACCAATAGATTATATGTTTTGGTTACTTCTCTGATATGGCTATCGAACGCAGTATGCACACCATTATCAGCTACATATTGCCCAAGTGTAGGTAGCTGTCCAACGTCTATCTTAAAACTCAACTGACTTCTGATCAAAGAAATATTTCGAGATCATGGTAATTGAGGCATGTTTCCTTACTCAGAGCTAGGGAGACGAGAAGATCTGGATCCGTGGCGGCTATAAGGCAGATGCGGAAGAACTATCCGTATGACGGTTCCGGAATTTCTTCACATTTTTCAAAACAATGCGTTTTGAACAGCGCCATTAAAAAGAGATCAAAATCTTGAAGCCTTCAAGCTAATCGTCGCAATTGAGGTGTGAACGGCTCACTTCTGCATTAGCTGTAGCATCTTTAGGTAGGGGGTTTTCAGTGTTAGGTCCTTTTTTATTTGAATGAATATCCAGAATGTTCGAATTGGACGAGATGGGATTGTGGCTGTCAGGAATTGCTAAATTCTTGAAGCCGTATTAGTTCTTAACACAGTGGATTAATTATTCATCCTCGGCGAATATGCTGGAAGGAGCTATAGGAAGCCGGGAATGGGAACATAGCGATGTCAAATCGCGTTTGGAAGTGATTTGACCTTGAAGAATGTGGGATAGGAAGCCCATATTATCACGATATCATATTCCTTGAAAAATTCTCAGCATTTGTCGCTTCAGAAGGGTTCTGCAAATAACAGCTAGTCCACCCGACCCCCATACAAGCAGAGCGTTGAGATTCGCAATCACACGATGATCGGTATGTGGGTCATCATCATACAAAAAAGCTAACCCAACAATGGGTAGGTGGACCACAGGTGCATCGTGGGCTGAAAGAGCGCACTCGCCTATCTTCTGGCGATCCTCTATGTAAGTTGTAGTTTGGGGGATTCTAATCAGTAGTCATGTGGAAAAACTTGGGAAGAGGTTCTCAAGAAAGTGAACGGAAGGCAACGAGAAAACGAGCTGACTAGCTAAAACCAGCCTCCGTGGTTGCAATGCCACAGTTCAGGGATTCTCAAAGGGTTTTTACAGCAGTAAATGTAAACCGACTCGGAAAATATTATATGTGCCACCTTAATAGGAGTAGCCCAAGCCCCCGGGCGAATTGTAGGTAAAATAGCAACTGGCTTTGAGAGCGTGTAATGAGTCCTTCCTACAACCGACATACTTCTCGAGTTGCATCCTTAAATTGTCCTATCCTTTACTTTGTCGACCTCCTGCCTGTAGAAAAGACAATGAAAGTATATGAAAACGAATAAATAGGAATCCAAACAAGAGAAAACGACTCAGGGAAAGGAGGCTGCTGCAGCAAATTAGCAAAATACAGATTTATTTCTCGTCCCGTAAGGGAACTCTGATAAATACCCAAAAACAGCTTCCAACTGGCGCCAGAAAGCAATGAGCAGACGTTGCGACCGCGCACACACGGGCACAAGTATTATAACGAACCTGAAGTCGATATTTTCTTGCACTTGTTCAGGCGATAGCGAGGCTGTAATGTAGTAAGGTGTGTTATCGTAGTCGGATGCAGCTTTATCAGCCAATTTGGTTATATCTATAGAAGACGTTAGTCGATGTGGCGACTGTCTACCAAACGAGATATCATCCGGCAAACGAATGTTCATGGACAGACTGCTCCCTGGAGGACGGTTAGTGGCTCACCAGAACAAGGAAGGGTGATATGAAGCGCTTTGCATGGAAATGTCCACCTCGCGCATGAATTCCCGATTTCCGATGTTATCAACGAAGTGTTGTGGAGGATTGATCGAACATGCTCTTTCAAGTAGATTCCATGGCCTAGAAATGTCTTGCTTCAGTAGATTTTCAGTGTGTCAGTGGTACAATTTTGATAGAAATTCACAATTTTCCAAGAGCCAAGTCGGCTCTGTTCATAGGAACAAAGCAAAAAACGGGGAATCACGGCACAGTGCGCAGTTGAGTCAGAAATTTCTCATATCGAGGGAGACAGGCGCCATGTGGGAAAGAGGGGAGCTCGAACGGTCCTTCGGAATGATCTCACCAGCCCCGTTGACCTGGGGCTCGGGTTCCCCCTCTCCGCCAGACCGTCTCCGTGCTGCTGTACTCACGCCATACTGTCTAGTCCTTTTGACTCTTTTTTAAGCGCAGTTCAGAAAGGTTATGGACGAGTTGTATCAAAATTATCCATTCTGCGTGAAGAGAAGAAACGTTCAAAACTGACCGTCTTGCAATCGGAGTCCATTTATTCCATTGGCCGTCAACTTTTGCTCTCACCTGAAGAATTACATCATAATCTTCTTGAGAAGCGAGAAAACACTGAGAATTTCCTCCTTTCTGGATGACTTGAAGTTGCTAACTATAAGTAAAGCAAGGCGGACCTCGAAACGATATATTCTCGAGTCGTGTGGTAGTTTGAAACACTAGTACACACATCCTCGCCAGCCAAAACTTCGACAGCTGAATTTCTTGATGAATCGAGAAGAAGCGTGAATCTGAAGACCAGGCTGCCATCCATGCTCTTCTGAAGGGCAGCGCGACAAGCTCACGAAACGCGTCTGGCGTCTCGACGCTTTTCACTAACGACGAGCTTCGGCTTCGGCTGTCTCTACGCTTTTAATGACAACATTCACCTATATTGTAAAATGAATATCGACTCACAGCAGGCTGTCCTCATCGTATTCCTTCGTCTCTATCGATGGACCTTCGATGGGCGTGTAACGAATCTGAAACCCTTGATAACTGTTGACACCAGAACAATAATTGTGTGCAAACTAGGAGAAGCTAACTCATTCTGCTTCGAAAAATGACCACAGTGAGGTGGCTTGAGTTTCCCATCAAATTGCGTCAGTAAATTATACTTTAGTGCAGAAGCATCGCGAACGAAGCCAATATCCTTGAAATTCACGTTGTCCCTCCAGACCATTTTAGCAAAAAAGAGAACATGCTCTTGTAGGGATGGAAAATATTTCCAGCTTTGTTGCTAGGCTCTATCACAGAAAAGCGGAGTCTCCAAACTTGCGGAACCCTGGAGAGCGATTTGTCCTGCAAAATAGCCTCTCTTTGTCTCACGGCTTCTCTCGTGAAAAGAAGTCATTCCCAAGGAAACATCTGTATTCTTATGAAAGCAACCTCTTCCTCTCAAGAAAACTGGGTCATGAACTTCCGCTTCTAGGCCGGACTTGAAACAGCACCTCTTACTTGCCGAGCAGGTGCGCTACAAAAACGCTACCAGGGCACCGCATCGACCCATTAGCCTGTTATGGTACGTTTAGTATAGCTTATTCGCACTCACACGTACAACCTGATAAGGCGGCTGGCCAACATTGGCAACGAACTGGGAGGCTGAAAGCTTTAGCAATTGATTTCTAATTGTTTTTAATTTTTATCGGCTGTTTTTCCGCAGTCCTTGCGGAAAAAGTCTAGGAAGAATACTGGGTTATGAAAAGACGAGTTAGGGCGAACGGTGACTCGGTAGAGTGACTTGTAGAGCTTTCGCCGGCAAGCGAGAGGTACAGGTTCGAGTCCCGTCTGCGGCAAAAGTTTTGCTCGTAACACAGGAAGCAGAAGCCCTGAGGCTGGTGTCAGAGTCCGCGATGAGTCGCGCGACGGGTCACAGAAATCACAAGTGCCCCAATCAATACTGCGAGGTGCTCTCCAATCCCGCCGCCATTTCTGCTTGATGGTGATGGTTGAATGACGACTGTTCATGATTCTACTTGTTTCATATTCAGTGTTTCAAATGTTCAAATGGGGCACTTGCGATTTTTGCGAATCGCGCGAAGGGATCGCGGACTCTGACATTAGCCTGAACACCTGAAAAGGCTACCTTCACACGTGGGAAGCTTGGTGAATCGAGCGCACCTGCTCAGAATAGATGGAATACACGCAGACGAACTCCAGCAGATTCGTGGAATGAGAAATCATAGTGGAAACCTATCGGCAAACGACGAAACAGTTCGTTCAAACGCTTGTTTTCACTCTCGATAACGTAAGGTTCCAACTGAAACGGGAAGGCAGAAAAATGAAGGTTGACGGTCGGCGAACACGAACAACGGCGAAATTTTTCCATAGGTTCATCATATCGAACATGACTCTGTCATCCAGGTGAGGCCGATGTCATAGTTTGCGAATCGAGCGAATCGCTGGATCCGAGCGTTGCGCCAGCGAATCGAACGTTGCACCAGCGAATCGAACTTTGCGCCAGCGAGTCGAACGATGTACCAGCGACTCGACACTGTTTGAAAGTGGCGGGACCCAACGTTTAAAGGAAGTCCCGCCACTTTCAAACAGTGTGGTCCTTTAAAGTGGACTTCCTTTAAACGTTGGGTCCCGCCACTTTCAAACAGTGTCGAGTCGCTGGTACATCGTTCGACTCGCTGGTGCATCGGTCGATTCGCTGGCATTCGCAAAAGTTCGATTCGCTGGTGCAACGTTCGATTCGCTGGCGCAACGCTCGGATCCAGCGATTCGCTAGCGAATCGCTCGATTCGCAAACTATGACATCGGCCTAATGCATGGTAAGCGCAACGAGCTTGTGTGTATATGGAATGGAGGCTCCGCCCATTTTGAACTGAACAGCCAAGTACCGGGATGACCACAATAATCATATGACCAAACATTATGCATTTTATGGAGAATCTCAGCTGGAAACTTCTATCTGTGCAGCACGGATACCAGCCACAATAAGACTTCGCGCTCCTTCAAAAAGGTTCTCATCACCGAGAGCATGGACTGCTGAGTGTTTTAGAGGATTCCAGGATAAAATCGTAGGTCGAAGAAGAGAACACTTGTGGAGAGACAGGCGGACCATCTAAGTGTGCGGACAGCCACGCCATCTCTCGGGAAATATATGCCACTGGCGACCTAGCGTGGCTCTCCACATATCATATTGTGCTGTCAGAGCGGCACGCCCAATGACTAGTTGACCACTCACAGCGGATCTGTAGCCGTTCAGCAGAGAGACGTTAACTTTGATGAGGGCAGCACCGTTAAAAGCCATCTCTCCGGGGTCGGTTAATTGGTACCAGACTTGTCTGGGAGGATAAAAAACACTGACTTGTACATCGGCTGGCCCCCGCAAGTCATTGTATAGGCCACATCGCATTCAAACGCCACTACGAATGTACAAATGGAAGTAGAATGCGTGCCGCATCCCAAAAAGGGATTGATCAACGGCAAATGCTTTATCCTTTTATTTTTTTATTTTGGGACAAGGAATATCCGAAAGCATTCCTTGCTCATTACGTCCAACCCACTTATCGTGAGCTATTATGTGTATATTCCAAGCTATTGAATACCTGATAGTGAACATTTCCAAGGTGCTTGAGAGGCTGGAAGACGATTGAGGCGGCAGTGTCGGTTTCGACAACTATTCGCGGTTCGGAGACGACGTATTCGCCCTGGGTCAATGTTGAGAACACACTCCACGCAGTTTTGTAGAGGCTGGCGTCGTCCCACTTCATCATTCGTGGTTTACTTGCCTAAAAATAAAATTTACCGAAATCTCGAGCTTTTTGACAAATAAGGGAAACTGGTAGGCATAGGGCTTCATACAATAGCGATGACAAGTGGTCACTGAAACAGCTAGTCGTGCATTTTCTTGAACAACAAGAAGAAGAGAAGTAGTGAATGAGACACTATGGACGAACAGGGACGATAGAGGAGCGTACCAGTGCAGAAATGAATCGGCGTCAAGGATATCTGACGATGTGTGCGATAGGGCGCACGCATAGTCGGTCGGACGACAGCAACGATCGTAACTGTCGCACAGCATTGGATGCGTATCGATCGTCGGACTTGCCTGAGTATTCGACGATTAGATGCAGTTAGACAGTCAGACAGTTGCGATCGTTGCTGTCGGACGACCGACTATGCGTGCGCCCATACTGTACAGCAGGCACATCGAGTGCCTAAGCTGCACATTCTAGGCCAAAACAAAAGCCGATCTTATAGACTGTCCCCCTCGTGTCTTCTCCTGACAACCGCACATTGTAAAACAAAGTTGAAGTAAAATAATACTCACTTCTGCAGCTGTAGTGATGGAGACGTTATAAGTCGAGCCAGGATGAAGATTTCGAAGAACGAACTCTGGCGTCTTCCCTACTTCACCAACACCCATGTTCATGATCTCCTTTTCGACTTTGTCCGGTGAATGGAGCGTTTTGGCTCGGATCTGCAAACAGAATATTTGAAAGAGATTTGAGAAATTAAGATATCCCATGTACGTTCGCTTGTGGAGAGCGGAACAGTCGCTTTCTTGCTCTGACAAAAAGAAGAATTTTGTGCCACTACAAAGGATTCGATAACAATTTTACCAGGAAAATTCTACTCCGTCGGGGTGGTTTTCTGTGTTCCAGAATTCCCAAGGCAGTACTTAGAGACAAATATTATACCTCAATCTTACCTCACTCCAATCTAGGCGCAAGCTTTTTGACCTGTGCTTGTTACAGAACTTGCTATCAGGCAAATCCGCGGTTATTTATGTTTCTATTTTTTTCCAAAATGAGGGTGTTCAGCTTAAATTATCGTTTTCAACGCCCAAAGCTACCACTAGACGCAATTTCCACTATAGGGCTGGTCTTGCATACTTGCAAACCGGCAAGGCTACTATCCAAGGCTCTCTGGGCTCCTTCAAACGGGCAGTGGGTAAAATATTCTTCAAGCATAGTTGTCACTTATCTATTTAATAGGAAATTCTAGTAAGGTGTATGCATCGTGTCTGTTTTGTTGCTCCGTGTTGACTGTGTTCATTTTTTCCTAACGCTGCGCATACAAAAAATAAATAAAAACAAGAGGGCCGATAGTATACCTTACATCGATTTGGCTTCATCCCCCTAAAGCTTTCCGAACTTTATCTAAGGTAAGAACCTAGAATTCGTGATGCCTACTAGAACTCTGCCTCCACTGTAGGTAAGCTCGGGCGCGACGTCAATGCTGTTCTAATCCTTCGATTTCCTCTTGTATGTTGAGGATATACGAAGGATTGAATCACATGAATGTACAGGGTGGGCAAAATTACGGTAACAGGATAAAGTGTTCATGGAAAAGCAATGCGGCCAGGAAGACACACGTGGACACCAACAATGTATTCATGGAAACCTAAATAGGATACAAAATCGCTTTTTGGACTGGCCGCTGCCTGTGTTAATATCTGAGAAATTTCAGCTTGGGAAAGTATCGTGCGTGTTGTGTGGGTAGGTGACATCGCGCATGATCTAGGCTCTTCATCTGTAGAAGGTCCTCGTCTTCAGCGACATCCACGCAGAATAGCCCAAATAATTCAAATCAATAGGTATCCACTCATTTGATATCCTAAACTCTGGGAAAATGTGCTCCACCAATGTTGCTCAGTATCGGCTGTGTAGGCAGGGGTCTAACTTGCTAGCATCTCCCGTGATTTCTCTCAGAGGTCTCTATCCGGATGTGATTATCAAGTGTGAAGAAGTCCGACATATTTCGACGGCGCTCTTGTCACTATGATTTTTACCAGCCTTGTATGTTTGTGTTTTCATTTTTACAGACTCCAAGGAAAACGATTTTTGTGGAAATGGCAGCCGAATAAAGTTCATGTCAACCTCGGCAAATGAACAAATAACCACTTGAGAAACCTGACTATTCAAAGCAGTATTTTAACAGGTAAGTTGTGGTGGGTCTACTTTACAGCTCTTTCCTTTCTCTTTTCTTTCTCATCTTTTTTTTGCTCCCTGTTAGTAGTTGCTCTTTATAACATACCGTGTATCTGGAGGTAGGTGTGGGCAACCACTGTGAAGGCCATGTTAATGTAAGGGCGTTAGGAGTTTTCATTCGCTGTCTAAGAATGAAGCCATCTTCAGTTTGGCTCAGTGTGGAGAACACCGCCCATCCAAGTGTGCCATAGCCATAGTTCGTGCCCGCCTGAAAAATGATGCATTGGATACAATCGGATATCGAAAAATATGGTTAACGAATGGTAAAAAAGAAAAACAGTCCGAACAATTTCCCGCTGGGGACTGAAACTGTTCTCATAAGGTCTTCAGAGTCTCATACAATTATTATGTAACGATGTTGGTACAAAAAAAGAACGCATAATGGAATGTTGGGAGAGGATACCTGTAGAGTGACATTGTAGACAGAGCCGGGCGAAAGACGTCCGATTGAGTACGAAGTTTTCGGCACCGGTATATTGAGCGAGAGCTTTTTCACAAGTTGCTTCGAAGACGGCACAAACTCATAAACGTTCATCTAAGCACAGAAAATCATACGACATGTCCATCTTTTCAATGTATAATTTTATGACGTAGGGCACCAAAATTGATTTTCCTAGGATATTGGGGAAAGAAATGAAGAAAAGGATCGAATACTAAAGGAATAGAAGAAATTCTTTTTGAGCAATACAATTAGAGTGCAGTTACGCTGATTATGGCTATCTTGAGAGTGCGTCCTTCTTCACTTACACTTCTACCGCTTGACCTATGTAAGAAACTTAAGAAAGTGGGAGTTGAAAAAATCGTTTTCGTCCATTGAAAAGTCCAGAATCTTCCAGATTGCTTCAAACCACGGTAAAGATTATTGGGTTTACCTGCACTGAAACGCTGTGAAATTGTAGGGCGAAATGTGCGCGTAAAAATAACTTTTGGTTAATAACGGGTAGCGATTTCCGAATACGTCTCAATATTTCTGAGAGAAAAATTAGGTTACGCTTACCCTTTCAACCAGGGTCAACCGTCACGTTCGAACATTTTCGGGATTTTTGCGACCCCCTAGCTCTCGAGGGGGTCCAGTTGCGACCCCCTGTTTTTGTTAATAAGAGTGCTAGACATGAATCCGTTGCGCCAGAAAGCGTCTGCGCGCCGTCTGCATTGCGGCGTCAGCCTTGGAGCGCGGCAGGTATCACCCGGGCGCTGGAAGAACGGGACGCGGCGAAGAAAAAATTTTAGAGGGGAATAACTTTCTTGGGACGTACTTTTTTGACTTGTTGAGGTAGATTTTGACTGTGCCTGAGGTGCGCTTTCAGAAAACTACAAGGATTGCCTAACTCTCCGGAAAGTACTTCTGTTAGAAGTGGAAAACCCAAAATTCTAAGAAGGCGCACCTTCAACTTTGAAGGCCCATAAAATCTTTCGTATGCGACATTTTGGAAATCTGTAAAAAGTTTCAGAAACTTCAAATATTTCTCTAACAAAACAGTATAAAAAGTTTAGTGATTGTCCCCTTTTTCAAAAATTGTCCCGTTCGAACATTTTTCGTGCAAAAGCGAGTTTTTGGGCTTTCAGCGACCATATACTCACTTCATTTTGATTGCTGTTTTTCATGGGGTGAAAGTACAGGATTTGCTCTTTCTAACAAGCCGCAAAACGTATTTCAAAGTTCGCTTCTAGAGAAAATCAACATTCGAACATTTTTTCCCATGGGTTTTTGGGACAGCACATGCGAGTTTTTGAGCTTT